GAAAATCGGGGTCGAGCAATTCAAATCTGAAGTCAGTTTTTGAGAACTTTTAACCTAATTTTTAGCCTAGAGAAAATCGTTGATTTTTCCGAGCCAGATCCTTAACGGATCCAGTCAGGATCCTTCCATGATTCGCTCGTTTTTCCTAAGGAAACGACTAAATCCTGAACGAAATGTGCAGCTACAGAATTTCAAGTTTCCGACAGGATTGGAAACAGGATTACAACAGGACAAGGGGGAAACGGCGGACTTTTGGACTTGAAGTTACTTTGAGCTACTTTAAGCTACTTCAAGTTACTTTCAGCTACTTGAAGTAGCTTACTTTGAAGTACTTTTCAACTTCAAATTTACCTGAAGTTACTTGAAGTTACTTTAAGCTACTTGTTCCTACTTTGGACTACTTGGGTGGTACTTTGAGCTACTTCAAGTAGTCTACTTTCACGTACTTTGACGTACTTTTCTACTTCAAGTCCGCCGTTTCCCCCTTGCACCAGGATCTTGAGCAGATTACCATTGTGTTTCAATCAGGATCCTCATTCATTCCTAATCGAAAAAGAAATTTCGGTCTAAAGGCTACCACATTTATCTTTTTTTCTCAAGGATGTTACCAGTTTTCCTAACAGAATCCTTGCAGAATCTTAGTCAATTTTCTTTATAGTATCATACCATTTCTTAGCAGGATTCTTGCAAGATTTTGTAAACAGAAAACTAATGTACACATAGAGTATCGATCTCTAGACCTTCAGTATACATACCGATGATGTTACTCGGTTGGATTGGGTCATGCTATCGTATGTAACACTAGCACTCAATATTTTAAACTTTGACGTAAGTTTAAACTTCTATTCCAGTTTTATACGAATAGAAATTATCTCAAATAAATTGTAAAAATATAATACCATTTCAAACATTTCTGCCATTGAGAAGGAATCTCACTGTTTACTGTAAATTTCGAGTCAGTTTCAAAAATATATTTATTATATTTTTCATACATGAGTGAAACTAACAGGATCTTTAGCCTAAAATTTACCACAGACTAAAACGGCTATTTACTAAAAAAAAATATTGGAATATTCGATATAAAAGTAGCCATGTGTTTTAATATTTTTTTAAACTTTTTTTCTGAAAGAAATAATTAAAAAACTGGTTTTTATCGAGTAAATGTCACAATAGTATCAATCGCCACTTAGAAAAGTTCTAATTAGAATAAGTTTTGTAAGGTTTTAGTAAAATCGCTTTATTGCTTTGTCACAAATTCCGGCTTTTCTTAAAGATAGAAATTATACTACTTTATCAAAAACGTTTGGTTCTCCAGTTTTAGATCTGTAAAGAATCCGTTCAGGATTCTGCAAAGACTCGTTCTCTTTTACTGAGAAAGCGATAAAATCCTAAAAGGGTTCAGTCATGGAATGCCAAGATCCTGGTAGATTCAAGACAGGATTACATCAGGATCTTGCACAAATTACCACTGTCTTTCAATCAGAATCCTGCAAGGAAACCCTCAAATCCTGAAAGAAGTACGTAGCCATGGAATTTCAAGTTCCTGACAGGATTGGAAACAGGATTACATCAGCATCTTGAGCAGATTTTCATTGTTGAAATTGCAATAATTTAGGAAATAAGATGTGGGTGTGGGTGTGAACAAGAGTTCTACTTATATTAACTAATAAGCACAACCACTGATACACCCTCTTGTTGGCTTTGTGCTGAGACCCTCATCATTTTAGTTGCAATAGTCGACTGAATCTTTGTACCAAGACCAATATCAGATCTTGTCTATAACTTGATAAAATCTTGAGAGTCCTGTCTATTATTACTGTAAGGACTCTTAGCAGGATCATGATCAGAGTTGCCACCTTTTCTGCTTTTAGCAGAAAAATTCTGCTTTTTGAAGATTTTTCTGCTTTTTTTCTGTCCTTTCTGCTTTTTCGGTTTTTTTCTGCTTTTTTAATATTGTGCTTTTTATATTTTCAACCAATGTTTTTAGATTTGAAAAACCCATTTTCAAAAGTATAAAGATAAATTCTTATCAATACTTGCTGGTACCTTTGTTTTACTCTAATTCTTTTATTAAAAAAGTTATTATTTTCCATCGGCTGTGAAAGACTACCAATGTACAGTGGCTCCAAAAAGTATCCGACCACCCGGTTTTAGTCTCATACAAAGACCTTATTCAAATAAATCCTTTAGAAAGGCGAACTCTTGTGAAACTTATGTATGGCAGAGAACTTTGTTTGCTCTATCCAATGATGATATTTGGATCAAAAAAGAAACATGTTTCGAAATTGAAAATCATTTTTTGCCAAAAGTCATGAAATTTAAGAGAAAAATAGATTGCTGACAAATTTGATGATGCACTTGAATTGAAAAGCCACATACGCAGTTTTGTAAAGCAGCTCACGGCGCATCGACTGGTATATAGGAAGTTGAATTTTCTTCAAGTCTTTATGCATTGAAAATCCCTATACTCCTTAGAGGTATATAGTGAATGAAAAGTATCCGGTCATCCTGACTCATTTTCAGTATTTGTCACTTTTCTTGCATGAGAGTATGCACTACAAAATTCTACGTTTGCTGGTGGATAGCCGGATGTGTCCGGCATCAAAACTATAAAATAAGCCCAGATCGAAGGCCCTTTCTAGAACTATTGGTAGCTTTTTCAATATAAGAAACGAATTTTCGAGAATGCTTATCCACTGTACATTCCAAGCAGTATAGGGATTTTCAATGCACAAAGACTTGAAGAAAATTCAACTTCCTATATACCAGTCGATGCGCCGTGAGCTGCTTTACAAAACTGCGTATGTGGCTTTTCAATTCAAGTGCATCATCAAATTTGTCAGCAATCTATTTTTCTCTTAAATTTCATGACTTTTGGCAAAAAATGATTTTCAATTTCGAAACATGTTTCTTTTTTGATCCAAATATCATCATTGGATAGAGCAAACAAAGTTCTCTGCCATACATAAGTTTCACAAGAGTTCGCCTTTCTAAAGGATTTATTTGAATAAGGTCTTTGTATGAGACTAAAACCGGGTGGTCGGATCCTTTTTGGAACAACTGTATATTAAATTGTGAAGATTTATTACGAGCTATTAAATCAAATGAAAAGTATACATTCAAAAGAAAATGTGTTCAATAATTATATTTATTTGTCTAACTAGTTTTTTTTTCTTGATTTTGAACAATAAATATTAGATTTCTATGTGAAAGCTCCTTGTTACAACGCTGAAACAAAACTTAAAAACAGTTTTATATCAAAAATATGCTTTCTGCTTTTTTTCTGCTTTTTGATGATAAAACTTCTGTCAATTTCTGCTTTTTGAAAATGATTTTCTGCTTTTTAGAGTTCAAAAGGTGGCAACACTGATCATGATTGAAACCTGGAAGGATCCTGCATTCATGATCTACAAACAAATCTGCTCAGAAACGTGAACAAATCCTGAACAAGATCCTGTATAGCAGTGTGAAATCCTGGGAGCAGGAATTATCATGAATTGTGTCAGGGTCCTGAGGAAAACTTAACAAGATCCTGAAGATTCAGGATCCTGACAGATCCTTTCAAGATTTCTCAAGGAATGAACAGGATTGAGACTAGGGGAAAGGTTTTTTAAGAAATTAACGAATTCCTATATAGCTTGACGAAAATAGACCGAGGTTCAGGAATTCGAATCTTATATTAGTTTTTCGAAAATTTGAGTTTTATTTTTCCATATAAATTTTTTTAGAAAAAAGTTGCTTTTGTGAAAAACAAACAATTTTTTCGTGAAAAAGAGTTTTTTAAGAAAATCATAACTTTCAGAAAGAGTTATTTTCGGGGAAAATTCAAACTCAAAATTTCGAGAATCTGACCTCAGATTCGGATTCCGCGACCCCGACTATCTTTCATCAGCCTTCATAAAAATATTGTTAATTTTTAAAAAACCCTTCCCTTAGCCTAAAAATTGAATTCAATGTTCTCAAAAACTGACTTCAGATTTGAATTGCTCGACCCCGATTTTCTTTCGTCAACCTTTTTATAGGATCGTCATTTTCTTAGAAAATTCTGCTTTTTCATGAAAACGAGCTTCCATCGATAACCGTACCTAGGGTTATCGTCATTGGATGGGTAGCCGTAGGCACTGGTATCGTCACCGTTGCATTCCTACATACAACGTTGAAAATAACTCAATTGAAATAATCAATAAAATGTCGTCCGTTCGGAATATCTTTCAATAAAATCCACAATCAAGTTAAATTCACTTTATTATTACACCGATTGAACAACATTGATGGAATTCCATGTAATATAGTTGGTTAATGATTATATGAAAACCATCAGGCGGGCAAAACTAAAATGAATACGTAAATAAATGCCATATTCATTTATTTACTAGGAGTTAATATTTAAGTAGTTACGTAGTACCTACCGTCGTTACTAGTTACTAGTGACTAAGTAACTACAGCAGTTACTTTGTTACTAGTAAACTAAAGGTAAACTCCCACCCCTAAAATATAGACGAACATTTTTTAAATTTGAAAATCGAGCGTCAAATTTAGTGTCATATCTAATAAGAAAATATAACCGTAAAATAAGCTTTCAGGGAACTGAATCAACATACCGTGGACATTGACTCGCGGCAGATTCGATACAAATTGATAAACAGAAAGGTGTTGATTTTGGTAGTTTCGAAAGATTGAATGTGTTCGACGAATATTTTAATATTTCTTTGTTTTAAATTTTTCTTGTGTTTGAAGATATAACTACCGTCGATTGTTTTTTGTTTCATTACACTGAGTTTATTAATCAGTCGATATGGTTCTATATAAACTCCAAATGCTTGTTAAATGATTTCGGCAATATGTATCATACGATCAGTTAATAATGATGGTAAAGCATTATCGACACAATATGCAAAATCAAGCATTGGAAAAGAATACGGTGGCCTCAATGCTAAGTTAACAAATGTTTGAACATCATCCCGATTAAACACAGAAAGATCAGTAGCCATACTAGTGGTTGAAAATTCAGACATTCTCAAAGAAAAGATTGATGATTAGACAATTAAAAAACTTTTAAAACGAGCATAGATAAATTTTCTATTCCGGCTAGTTTACCTTAGAAATCAATATCTGAATCATAGACGATGCTCGATGCTCTTTTAAGTAGCAATTTGAGAATATTTGTTCTATGTACTAAAAATTTTCTAATGCCGCATAAATTTTTTATGTATCTTAAAATCATCGAAAACAGTAGAAAAAACAGTTATTAGCACAACTCTTCTGAAGTTGAAATGTGAAACTTCCATGTCTTCTTTAGGTAGATCATACTAATCTATTTGTTTTGATCTTCATGAGCAATTAATAAATCTAAGAAAAAATAAGGTAGATAATTTTAATTCAACGTAATTAAAAAAAAGAATAGGCCAGCAACAAGAATACAAAGAAATTAAATAAAATCAAAATATAAAAAAGTTAACGTATAAGAATAATATGGTAAAACCTTTAAAAATGTAGTGATGAACAAATAATGACCAGTTAAAAGAAAAAGAAGACAAGAAAAACGCTTAAAAAGATGGGATTATGTGAAATAAGGAAAATTTAAAATTTTAGAAAGTCTTTTTTTCTATTTGTCTTCTTTTTTTAATGAATATTATGAGGATTTATTCTCTTAATTTTCACCAGGAATTTGTTGTTGTTGAAGTTCTTGAGTTTTCGTACAACTTTGGTTCGATAGTCGAGCAATTGGTGGATAAGGCCGAGGCATAAAACGATTACGAAAATATTTCGATGTTAGTTCTATTGATGATGATGAGTAAGTTGAGGATGTCGTTGAGGCTTGTATCAGTGATGATGGTAGTGAATTTGTTGGTGGAAATGGTAAAGTTTTTTTATTTTTCGATGAATAACCACCGCGTAGAAAGTAACAGAATAGTCAACACTTTATATTTAAAATAAACTTTCTTCAAGACTTACAATGGCAAACATGAGATAATTGAACAATCTTCATTTTCTTTTGATGATACATTAGATTCTTTTGCAGGTGGAGGGACGATTTTTTTTTGTAGCCTTACTAAAATATTGAAGTATTGTTGTTTGTGTTGTGGTGGGCTGTACTTCTAATATTTTTTTGTTTTTTTTTAGTCGATGTTGAACTATCAGTTGCCATCAACCTTTTCATTGATGTTGGTGCCACCACACGTTCTTCATTACAGCTTGTGAAATAAAGGTAAATATAAAAACTAACGTTTTCAATAATAGTTTTATGAAATGAAATTACTTTGTATATGATCTAGACTTTAAAACAGTCTTAGCCTCTTCGGATAGTTTCGCCGAAGAAGATGATAAGATCATGTTTTTACAATTTTCTTTGTATTGGACCCAAGGTA